CCCCCCCCCGCGCGCCCGGGGCTGGGGGCCGCCAACACGAGCTGGAGCTTAACCCAAGGGCCCCAGCAGGGGAAGGATCAGCATGTCTGAGGAAGCCTGGCCTACAGACAGTGATGCTCCCCACAGAGCATCACCACTCAGTGCAGAGGGCTACAGATCTCCCAGGCCCCACATGTTCTAGCCCAAGGCACTACCAGCAGCTTTGTTGATTTGCTCAGCCTTCTCAGCTTCTGATGCCAGGATCTGGGCCTGCTTCTGCCCCTCAGCCACATTGATAGCTGATTCCCGCGTCCCCTCCGACTCCAGCACTGTCGCCCGCTTCCGTCGCTCTGCTTCCACCTGCAAACAGAGGTCAGACACCAGACTGCCATGGCTGAGCTGGGTAAAGCCCATCCGTGGGGCAAACATAGCATGGAGACACTCCTGCACCCCACGTGGGCAAGTACAGTTTAGCAGAGGGTGAGAACACAGCTATAAAACACCGAGCGATCCCTGGCAAGGGCTGGTTCTGCTCCTCACGCTGCACAGCCCTCCCCAGCCCAGTCCACACCTTACAGGACGGCCGCTTCCCCCTCCTCCCCTTCCAGCCAAGATCTGCTGCCTGGCTTTTCTCAAGGGGAGACCTTAGGAGCTCTGGAATTCACTTCCTACAGAGCCCAGTAAGGATTTTAAAGGGAGCTGACAGTGGCCACCACTGCCAAAATAAGGACAGGAATTATTTATTTAACAGCTGTATGTTCGCAGCCAAAGTGCCAGTGGGCTTCCCTCACCACAGGAGGGCCCAGTACTGCCAGCTCCAGACAGAGAAGAACCGTGCAGCATGGAAGGGGAGACATGGAAGGGGAGACTTCCCTCTCCTTCTACACCACCCATGCAGGGAAACAAACCTGCATCTGCATAGATTCCTTCACGCGTGGGGGCACGTGGATGTCCTTGATCTCGTAGCGCAGGCACCGGATGCCCCAGCAGTCTGAGGCCTGGTTAATGGCATCCACAATATTGGCGTTGAGGGACTCCCGCTCCTGGGGTGCGCAAAAGAAATGGCAGAGAGCAAAGAAGAGGCACTTAGCAGGAGACAGGGGTCAGGAGAGAAACATATCCTCCCTCATTGGCCACGGCCGGCCAGAAAAACCCATCGCCACAGGGATAAGGCAGGGCCAAATGCTTCCCTGGTCTCTTGAAGCGGTCACCTTCTCCTATGAAGGGCAGTGCCCCAAACTGAAATTGCTGGGATACAAAACATCTGCCATACACCTGAGTATAAACATCACCAAGGAATGCAGGTAGCTCCTGTTTCTACCCAGCAAATGCAGCATGAGCGTTACAGCCCCCCATGAACCGGGCCAGCCAGGACACTCATCACTGGGCCTGGGCAAAGAGTCATTGACTCAAGAGAAATGCAGTTGGACCAGCCAGGTCTGGGCCCATGTCGTCCATCACCCTTTCCCACTAATCCAGGGCAGGGGAAAAAATAGCTCCTTTAAAAAAAAACCCACCATAAAACCAAACAAGACCCATCTCCAAGGATTCACTAATAGGTCAAATGAAACTGAAACCCTCTAAGCAGAGGGTGTTTTGCTGTTAAGCATATCAGCCTGGCCATGCAGACTGTCCCACAGTTTTGAGAGATGCTGGCAGCTCCATGATCCACCTCCCCAGCTCACCCGGAAGACTCTGTCAAGGGAGAGTTTGCCAAGTTCAGATCTCATGGTGGTCTGGGCCAGC